AATATACATCAGACAGAACTCTCTACATAGTAGTTTACCTTAAAAAGCTTTGCTGGAGATGATGATATAATTAAGACCCTCAGACTAAAAAGAGCATTAAAAGGCAAATAAGCAAGCAGATGGTATGCTGTAACCCCATATGTTAAGTATGAAATCCTCCTCCCTTTTACTTTTTGATTTTTGTCTTCCACCTTTCTCATGGATGCCTCAGGGCTCATTATGGAATCACCACACACTATTTACAAGGCCAGGCAGCAGCCACTTAGAAATAAGAGAGAGGAGACTAGAGAATAAAGGAGTATACATTGGTCCAAGTGCTCATATGCCAAAGCATAGAATAAAGTTCAAGAAAAAACAAGAAGCCAGGGAAGGAGAAGGATGTTAGTCCATCTATGCACATCCATTATGAATAACAAGTGCAATACTACTCTAGAATAAATAATGATCAGGTTTTAAAGATGTGGGAGTACTCTCCTCACTTTTAAAGTGAGGACAGTACAGAAGATGGAAAAATGCTGTTAGAAATTATTAAATGCTACCAGGCACTATGTTCCTAAAGTTATTCCATGGTCTAGTTCCTGTCTAGGGAAAAAAAAGAGAAAACTATTTTTCCATATTCTCTGAAAGTAAGAGCAAGCACACATAATAACACCTGACAACATCTTCCTTTTCCTGATCCAAAAGAAATAAAAAAATCTGTGTTTTGGAAGATGAATTCACTCTAAAAATAAAGTCTATACAAATACCATTATTTAAGACTTCTCCCTTTGACTGCGTTAATTGTTGATGTTCTAACCTGTTCTCTTCAAATCAAAAGTAAGTCCAGAAAACAATCTGCTGTTAAGTTGTCAGTAAGGTATTTACATTCAGCTACTAAAGGTATAAAGGCCAATTTCCTAAATCTACCTTGCACAAGAGTTCAAAACTAGCTTTACACTTAAGTAATTTGTGGGTAGAAGATAATTCAGCAACCACTGCTGTGCTAAAAACGAATACAACTTTTAAAAATTTCGACATTAGATTTGTAATATTATTCTCTCTCTTCAGCTTAAACAAATAGAATAAAGCATGGATTCTTGGTCTGTTGCTCAGCATCTTGATTTAAGTCCTCTCCCAGAGAAGGGTCTGGTTCATTGAGACAGCTCTCAACAGAGTCCATAGATAAGAAAGGAGACTAGAAAAATGAACAGAGTCTGACTAAATTATTTGGTTTTACTCTTAACTCTCCAGTCATTCTTTCCATGTTTTCACTACTATTTACTTGACTTTCCTATAGGAATACATTTATCCCAGGTTCCACCTGCAGTCATCTTCTATTTCTGTTTGTGTTCTGTTCCTTAGTGAAGCCATTAGTTTGCATTGTTTCAACAATTATCTCTTTAATCTCACTAGGCCTTGGGCTCCTTCCCCAGCTTGTCTTGCATTTTGTTATTATCGGCTGACTATCCCTGCCACTAGCACCTCATACTTAACATGCTCAAAACCAAAATTTTCAACTTTCCAAAGAAGATGTCCTAACATACTACCTACTTCTGTTATGAAGGCATTATCATTCTCTCATCCTTGGCAACATCTCTGAACCTCATTCGTCTTTTGATCTATTGCTAAGTCTTACTGACTCTATCTTCTTTACCTCACAATACCTCTGGTATCTTTTCCCTCCGTATTACCATTTATACCACTACTCTAGTACAAACTATTACTTCTCATCTAGTCTATTAAATTAGTATCATAACTGCTCAGTAAATATTTGCTGAATGAATTCATGCATTGAAATGAAGGGTATCCCTAACTTTAGGTCTCTCACCACCATAATACATCTTTTACAACAGAGTCCAATTAATTTCCTAAACTGAAGTTCTAACTTTATTACTCTTCTACTCAAAAATAGTTTCCTACTTCCCACATAGTTAAATGAATTTTTTGCTTTACAATTAAGGTATTTCACATTAAGAGGTCTATTTCTCTTTCCAAGATTATTTCAAATTCTTCTGAAACATTATCCCCTCACTGGAACAAAGCTGCACTACTCACTTCTCCACCCATACTCTATGCTCCCTCTCATCTTCTTCTTCCTTATTCTTGTACCTCCAACAATCCTACTCATTAATCCAGGCCTATCTCAGACATCACTTCTTCTCTGAAACCTTTCCTGACTCCCCATCATAGTGGCTGTTTCCTTTGAAATGCCCCAACACTTCATTGATATCATTTATGACCCTCTTTGTATTAAGGCAATAAAATAAAACTTGTTTTATCCTGTATGATTTGGGAGAATAAATGTGCTTTATTTTTATATTTGAATATCCTGCAGGGCTAGGAACAGTACTTTGTATGACAAGTTCTCAATAAATATTTTTGAGGTAGGGAAAGAATAAGTAAATAAATGGGAATGTACATGATCTATAAGAGAAGTAATTAGACCTGTTCTAAAACAACATATTAACACACATATCAAAGTGATAACCAAATTACAACCAAACCTCATTAAGACTATTGAGCAGATTTTTACCATGTTTCTGATGAAAATTAGAATTTATTTTTATTTTCACATGTACGTTATGTTTCACTATGTGCCAGGCACTGTTCTAAGCCCTTTGTATATTAATTTTTTAAATTCTTATAACGACCTTACTTTATTTTATTTTACAAGTTAAGAAACAGGTGTAGAGACTAAGCCGTTTGCCCAAGGCTACAAAGCAGACCCCAGGAAGTCTGACTCCAGAGTCGATATATGTACCATTATTCTACTGTGCCTAGTGATTCATACATAACTGACTTCAAAATGTGAATAAATTAAAAGGGATTTTTACTGAAAGCTCACTTCTTCTTCTTCTTATTATTATTATTTTAAGTTTGCAGGTTTGCCTTACTAAAATGTGTTACAGTATAGTAACAAATCAAGGAGGCTGCTAAGATGTAGAGAGCGCCTATACTGAATGGTATCAAATTGCCCAAGTTTTTCCTTTTTTCCCTTGTCGTCACATTGGTATTTACCACCTATGACTACCAATGTGCCTAAAATGTCTTCCTCCTTTTCAGCTTACTGGGAATGAGAACAAGGATTACCATAAATTTGTATTAAATAAAAGCCAACAGGGCTCTGAGGAGTTTCTTGCTACAATAAGCGACCTTGTATCATGTACTGGTTTCAGCAACGAGTTCCATTAAGTTGAAGCTGTTTGAAGTCTGAGTCACAGATGAATCATGCATTACCGCATTGCCATATAATTTCTGCTGACTGCATAAAAGAGTTATGTAAATAAGGGTCCTAAAAGTTGACAATGTTCCCCCCAAAGTGGCTTACATCAGCCCAAGTTTCATTACTAGAAAATATCATAGGATTTCCTATAACAACAAACAACACATAATTTCTCTTATTCTTACCTTTGCGCAACCCAAAAATCCCAGGGAAATGGCAACCCTAGCTCGTAGGTCTGGCCTGTCTTTGGGCCACACATAAGAAAGCATTGCTTTTATGATTTTCCGAGTATCAACATCTTTTAACTGTTGAGAGAAAACAAAGTAGTGAGTAACATGTTATTTCAAATATAACTACATTTCAATTGCATAGAATTAAGTACCTATATCACAAAAATATAAAAACATTACAAACATAACTTGTATTCTGAATCTAAGGTCAAATATCTTTCAAACTCAAATTATTTTGGAGAACAAGGAATTTTCAATTGCTTTGAAAAAGTTATTCATTTCTAATTTCTTGACTTGAGTTATAGCTATCCTCATATTGCCAAAATGTTAGTAAGTTGGGGTGAGGGGATATGTACTATATATTTATTTCTTACCTACTAAACTATTAAAAGATTACATAAAATATACACATTTCCATATTTCCATCTTTGTGAAGCCCCAGTCAGGGCACATGCCTGGGTTGCAGGCCAGGTCCCCAGTTGGAGGTATGCTAGAGGCAACCAATCGATGTTTCTCTGCACATCGATGTTTGTCCCCCTCTTTCCCCATCCCTTCCTCTCTTTCTAAAAATAAATAAATAAAATCTTTTTTTCAAAAAAAGATCAACACATGTATACAGTAATCCCCCCTTATTCACAGGAAATATGTTCCAAGACCCCCAGGGGAATGTGTGAAACCATGGATAGTATGAAACCTTAAATATACTGTTATTTCCTATATACACATACCTCTGATAAAGTTCAATGTATTAATAATGCACAGTAAGGGATTAATAATAACAAAATAGAACAGTTACAACAATATACTGTACTAAAAGTTATGTGAATGACTTTCAGGCCATTGTTAAGTAAAATAGGGGTTACTTGAAGAGAAGCACTGTGATACCACAGAGTTGATATGATAACCAGGACAGACTAAATGACCAAAAGGCAGGTAGCATATACAGCATGAATATGCTGGACAAAAGGATGGTTCACATCGTGGGTAGTAGGGTGAGAGACTTCATCACGCTACTCAGAATGGTGCACAATTTAAAACTCATGAATTACTTATTTCTGGAATTTTCCACTCAATATTTTCAGATTGTAGTTGACCTTGGGTAACTGAAACCATGGAAAGAAAAGCTGTAGATAAGGGGGGACTACTGTATTCCAAAACTACTGTATTATTATGATTGGTAAAACAAACCCTATTTTAAAAATTGAAGTAATTGCTCAATTTCTGGAAAAGGTATTAAAAAGGAAACACCAAAAAATGTTAATGCTCGTGGTTGGTGAAGATGTATGGAAATGAGCATTCTAATACACTCTTAATGGGAGAATACATTGAAACAATCTTTCTGGAAAACAATTTGATATCTACCATAAGTTATTAAAATAATTTTACCCTTTGTTTTGAGAAACTTATGCTTTAAAAAAATATTTCAGAAATGTCCCAAGCTGAATCAATTTTATTTCACAAAAATCTCTTAAATCTGTCTATTTCTTTCTAGTTCCTTCACCAACCTCATCCAAGCTATCATTTCTTTTCTTTTTAATTTGACCAATTTTATATAGGAACCACCAAAGTTTTAGTGTTTAAAATTTAATAGCACAACTGACCAAGATCCAAGATGTGAAGTTATCAAGTTTGAGAAACAGGGGGAGGGGGGATCACTCTATCAACTAACTATATAGTATGTGATAAGAAGAATGCACACTTTACAATATCAGACCTGTCTAGGTATAGTAATTAGTTGCAAAGAGCCATTTAGTCTTCTCCTGGCTTGTAAACACAATGTTCCAGATTTCAGTGTAAATTAGCAGCTTTCAACTCTTCTGTGTAGCAGGTATCTTGTTTTCCCCTTCCAGTTCTTCCACCCAGGCCTGGGTCATGCGGTCTACAATGTTTTTCTCCAGGTCATCAATGTGACTACTCATATCATCAATTTTTCCAATGATCTGGTTGGACATGGTCTGAAATTTGTCTTGCATTTGTTGCAGGAGTGTATGCACCACCGAGGTGAGGTCCTGCATGATCTTGGGGCCAGTCTCAGCCATCTCCCTGGTTCCCAGTTTGGCAGTCCAAGCTATCATTTCTTACCTAAATCACTGCATCAACCTCCTATCTGATCCTCCTGTATCCATGCTATTCCCTATACAATTAGTTCATCCTGCAATCAGATATTACCACCAACTTAAAACCTTTTGAAGGTACCCTATCCCTCTTAGAATAAAGTCCATAACGTGGGTTTTTGAGACTCTCCTCCACCAGGCCCTTGACTACCTCTCTGGCTGTATCTTATGTCACTACTTTCTGTGTTCACACCACACTGACTTTTTGTAAGTTTCTCAAATGTCCCCTAACCCCTCTGCCATGGGGCCTTTGCACAATACCATTCATTACATCAGTAATAATCTTTCTCTCCACAACGCCAACCCACACCACCCACAACCTCTTACAACTAGTTAATTGCCAAATCAAGCAGCACTCTCACAATGCAGTCTTCCCTAACTCTAGTCAGGATCCTTGGCTGTATTTTCTCACAGAAGAGTATTCCTTTCTTTCAGAGTATTCCTTTCCGTTATTAACTACTTACATAGCAATGTGGTTATTTGATTAATATCTGCTATCCAGCTAGAACTTAAATTCCATGCGCTTAGTAACTTTGTGTTTTGTGAGCACTGTTGTAACCCAATAACAAATACAGTGGCTGACATACATTAGGTAGTCAAGAAATATTATCTTTACTGAATAAAGAAATAAGACATTTAGCTATAAGGATACTCATTCCCATCTTGTATTAACAGAAAAAAATGGAAACAACATAAATAATCCATGATGCAGAACTTTATAAAGAAAACACAGTGAATGCATACAACAAAATACGGCCACTCAAAAATATATGTAGCAACACAGGAACATGTTAAGTAAAAAAAGAAGGGTTAAAAAGTTATTTTTGTGGAAAAAAACATGATGTATGTAAGAGTTTACACATGCATACAAAGGTACATGGAAAGCAATACCTCCCAAAGTGTCAACATCAGTAGCTGAGAGTAAGAAGAATCACTGACAATTTTTTACATTCTTTTGCTTGCTTGTATTCTCTATAGTTCACATATAACAAAAAATAGTCTGAGGGGGGAAGTTCTTTAATTTCAAGTAGATTTGCACAACAAGGAATGGGGAAAAACTGTCAAAATATAAGAAACCCAGGACAACACAGGGTAGTTTTCTATTATGGTTATTTCCCCTAAGGCTCAGCAAATTGTTTTTCCAACATCTTTTAGTTTATTGAGTAAAATATAAGAGAAATAAAAGTGTTCAAATTGTACTGAAAACAGGACTAGCATCCTAAGCTGCTCTAAATATATAAGATGGTAAAAACATGAAATACTGAAAGTACAGTTCCTAATGATGGTATACACACATATACTCACATATGTGCTCCTAACTGCTAGGGTGTTTTTAAAAGGGAATGAAATTGTAATTTTAAAATTAATTTTTCCAATTGAACTATTACTAAACAAATACAGTTTAATACGTTATAACATAAACAGGGGCACTTCAACAGCTTTCCCAATTCACAAGTTTTGTTTTTTCATTTTTCTTGATATAATGATGGCAAAAGGCCCTGCTTCCATATATCACTGGAAAAACTCTTTCCTGTCAATACTTCCTACAACACGTCAAAATTTTTTCAATGAGGGCGCAGGGAAATTATAGCTAAGAGCAAGAAAATTATTCTAGTTGGCTTAATAGGGCACAAAATGTCACTACTTTATGTAACAAAATGGGTTCTGAAGTTGTATAATCATGCATTAGGATTCCATTAAGCTGTAAAGTACAAGGCTTCAGTTATAGGTTAGATAAATTATAAAGTTTGAAAACTAATGTCTTTTTTAAAAGTAAAGGCCAAATCAAAAAGGCATTTCAGAGGCTGAGGCACATTTTTAAAGATTTTTAAACCAACTTATTCCTGCTGTGCAAGAGTAAAATAAAACCGAAGGCCTCAATGCATGTCCTGAAAGACAATCTACCATATTTCAAAATCATCACAGTTAATTCCTACTGGACACCCACTGGTAAAAAGTTATCTAAAGCTGAAAGAGACAAGAAACAAGCTTGAGACTGAATTAGACATAACCTTCACATCAAGTAATCTTTTATTTCAGACTAAGCAACACGAATAGCACAATACCCCTTCCTTTAAGATCAAATTCTTAAAGACAGGGTAGAAAATGGAGGGAATGTCAAGTAGGATGAAAATAAATAGTGTTATTTGAAAAATCACTGTGTAAATGGTAATTATATTATAATATAGGAAAAATCAATAATTTAAGAAAAGGAAAGTCTTTCTGAAGGGTCAAAATCCCTGAGTAACCAACAGTTAATATCATAATACTTTTTCTTTAAGCCTTCCTTATAAATAAAAGGAAAACATGGAATTCTTTAACCTTTCTGCTCATCATTTTTACAGTATGTAGGATTCAAAAGTTATTTTAAAAACATAACTGTGATAATTACATCATGATAACAAAAGCTCTTTAAAATGGACCACTGCAGCAGTATCATTAAAAGGCTTATAAAAGTAAAAGTGAATCTACTTCCCTTTGCTGCTAACAATATATACAATATGGCCTTTTTCCTGTAGCTAATAGGCTCAAATTTAAAACACAGAACTGACATTTTAAGCTCCAACACAATATAAAGCTAGAACTGTGCTAGTATATGGAATAAACATTTCTAAAAAGGCTTAGTAGGGTTAGAGTTGTGAGTACATAAAACAGAGTTTATTCTTATATTATTTATCAATAATTGTATTGTTTGACATAAGAACTGTAACCCTACATTTCTTATGTAAACCTACATTTGCCCACTCCTATAGTAGAACTAGCTAGCTCTAAAAAAGGAAAGTTAGATTCAGAAAAAATACACAAGGGTAACAATAAAAGGAATTTAAATAGGCTCTGTAACAATTTTGAGTAACAAAACTGTATTGTATTTTTCCCCTAGAAATTAGTTGGGAAGAAAAGGTTTGTAAACAACAGAGAGCTGTCAAAGAGGAGATGGACCTAACTGAAAACAAGGTGAACTGCATGGCGAAGGCATGCGAAAGGCAACCATACATTGATGTTTCCCTCCCTCTCTTTCTCGCTCCTTTCCCCTCTCTCTAAGAATAAAAATGAATAAAATATTTAGAAAAAATAATGAGGACACAGGAACCATAAAACAGAATAAGTCAGATATGAAGAACAGAATATTTGAAATGTAGAATGTACTAGAAGAAGTACCAAATTCAGCAATACATTGACAAGATCAGGCATCATGATCAAGTGTGGTATATTCCTGGGATGCAAGGATGATACAATATCCATAAACAATTAACATGACATGCCATGTAAACAAGATGAAGAGTAAAAATCATGTAATCATATCAGTAGATGCAGAAAAAGTATCTAACAAAATAACAAGATAGGGATGTCCACTTTCACCACTTTTATTCGACATAGTACTGGAAGCCCTAGCCACAGCAATCAGAAAAAGATGAAGAAATATAAAGCATCCAAATAGGTGGAAAAAGTTAAACTGTCCTTATTTGCAGATGACATGGTACTGTATATACAGAATCCTCAAGACTCCACCAAAAAACCACTAGAACTGATAAATGAATTCAGTGAAGTAGCAGGATACAAAATTAACATTCAGAAATCACTGGCATTTTTCCCCCACAAGGAGTCGGAACTTTATTACTGGCAGAAAAGTACAAATTTCAAACCAAGCTGCAGTAACTCTTGAAACAACAAAAAAAGTGGTCCTTATTTTTACATGGTTACATTGTTATTTCCACAATAGCATTTACAATATCATTACTGTCATTCTTCAGGGCTCAGACTGCCTTTGCTCATAACACATTTGCTTGTGACATGACCAATTCTATGTTCTTAACTCCCATACCTGTTTCATCAACCTCATCTTTTTCACTCTTCTTTTATACAGTTGGAGTCTGTGTGTTTTCTTGGCTATTTGAGACGGCAACGCCATGGACTCTGAATTTCTCAGCAGCTGCTAGCTGTGCTTGCTGAGATAAATCCTCAATCTTAGCTTTTCCAAAAATTATGTAGGCATCTGAAACTAGGCTCTTGTAGACATTGGTTTTGTGATAACAAAAAGTGTATCTCCGATTTCTGGATAGTGACCCTAGTCACCCCTGTAGCCTGGTGAAGACCCAGTGTGAACATAGCTCCATGCCTTCTTTTCACTCTGGATCTGTTTTGCTTTACTGACTGGTTGTTCTTTGTCAGATTCAGCTACTGCTGCCCCCTGGGCTCGTTGTGAGGCTACCTGTGTGGAATCTTGTTCCTGGAGCTCTGATACTGATTCATCAGTGTCAGATTCTGATGTAGACCCTGTCTCAGCCTGGGGTGGTGGCAACACCTGCTCTGTAACAGGTACAGTTTCTGTGGCTTCACCGAACATTTTGTGCATGGAACGCAGCTCGGGGGAATTTTTATACACCAATAAGGAAGTATCAGAAAAGGAAACTAAGCAAGCAATTGGATCTAAAAAAAATAAAATAGCTTGGAATGAATTTAACCAAGGATGTAAAAGACCTGTACTCAGAATACTGGAATACACTGAAGAATGAAACTGAAAAAGATACAAGTGGAAGAATATACCATGTTCATGGACAGGAAGAATTAACATCATTATTATGCCCATACTACCCAAAGCAATCTACACATTCAATGTAATTCTATCCAAAATACAAATGGCATATTTCACAAAACTAGAACCAATTATCCCAAAATTTACATGAAACCACAAAAGACCCTCAATCGCCATAGAAATCTTGAGAAATAAGAAGAAAGCTGGAGGTATCAAGCTACCTGATGTCAATCTATACTAATAAGGTGATAATAATCAAAACAACATGATACTGTCATAAAACAGACACACACCCTGGCTGGTGTAGCTCAGTGGATTGAGCACGGGCCTCCAAAACAGACAATCACGGTTCGATTCCCAGTCAGGGCACGTGCCTCGTGCCTGGGTTGCAGGCAGGTTCCCTGCAGGCCAGTTCCCAGCAGGGGATGCACAAAACGCAACCATACATTGATGTTTCTCTCCCTCTCTCCTTCCCTCCCCCTCTAAAGATAAATAAATAAAATCTTTAAAAAATAAAAAAAATAAAATAGACACACAGATCTATGGAACAGAACAGAAAGCCCAGAAATAAGTATATGCTTACATGGTCATTAATATTTGACAAGGGAGGCAAGAACATACAATGTAGTAAAGACAGCCTATTCAATAGTATTGAGAAAACTGTACAGATAACATGCAAAAAATGAAGTAGACCACCTTCTTACACCATACACAAGAATAAACTCGAATTAAAGACTGAAATG